TTTTTTTTTTTTTTTAAAGTAGAAGGAGCACATTCTAAAATAACCATAAAAGTAAAAGTAGTTTGGGTTTTTGTTGTTGTTGTTGTTGTTTTCATCAAAACAGTAACATTGTTTTAGCTCTACTCAACTCTTTCTCCTATCAGCAATTTAGTCACAGCCCCATACTTCGAGCCACATTATCAGGGAAGCGGTATTGTCACAGTTATGAAAAGAACTCCAGCTGGGTGCAGTGGCTCATGCCTGTAATCCCAACACTTTGGGAGGCCCGGCGGGCAGATTATCTGAAATCAGAAGTTAGAGACCAGACTGGTCAATATGGTGAAACTCCATCTCTACTAAAAATACAAAAATTAGCCAGATGTGGTAGTGTGCATATGTTAAGTCACAGATACTTAGAAGGCTGAGGCAGAAGAATTGTTTGAACCTGGGAGGTGGCCTCACCACTGCACTACAGTGGGCGACAGAACAAGACTGTCTCAAAAAAAAAAAAAAAAAAAAAAAGTCCAGAGAATTTTAGTACCACCACCTCTGTTGCCTTGCCTCTCAATATTTAAGCCAACAATCTGATTCAGTTACTGCAGAAGCTCTAACTTTAGCAAGGTGTACCACCATTACTAAAAGTAAGAAATAACTAAAGACTAAAGAACCTCAGCAGACGGCAGTGGCTCATGCCTGTAATCCCAGCACTTTGGGAGGCTGAGGTGGGAGAACTGCTTGAGCCTGGCAGGCTGAAGCTGCAGTAAGCTGTGAGTGATCGGCCATTTTAATTTCATTGCTTATATGAAGAAAAACAAGGTTAAGTCAAAGGCTGATGAACTAAGATGTTTTCTTACTAGACCCATTTAAAGAGATACACTAATAGCCAAGACGATCCTAAGCAAAAAGAACAAAGCTGAAGGCATTGCACTACCTGACTTCAAACTATACTACATGGCTACAGTAACCAAAACAGCATGATACTGGTACCAAAAGAGACATACAGACCAAGGGAACAGAACAGAGACCTCAGAAATAACACCACACATCTACAGTCATCTCGGATCTTCAACAAACCTGACAAAAACAAGCAATGGGGAAAGGATTCTTTGTTTAATAAATGGTGCTCAGAAAACTGGTAAGCTGGACTCCTTCCTTACACAAAAATTAAGTCAAGATGGATGAAAGACTTAAATATATAATCCAAAGCCATAAAAATCCTAGAAGAAAACCTAGGCAGTAACACTCAGGACAAAGGCATGGGCAAAGATTTCATGACAAAAATGCCAAAACCAACTGCAACAAAAGCTAAAATGATAAACAGAATCTAATTAAACGGACGAGCTTCTGAACAGCAAAAGAAACTATTATCACAGTGAACAGACAACCTATGGAAAGGGAAAAATTTTTTGCAATCTGCCCACTGACAAAGGTCCAATATCCAGAATCTACAAGGAACTTAAACAAATTTATAAGAAAAAAACAACCCCATCAATAAGTGGGCAAAGGGTATGGACAGACACTTCTCAAAAGAAGAAATTTATGTGGCCAACAAACACATGAAAAAAAGCTCAACGTCATTGATCATTAGAGAAATGCAAATCAAAACCACACTGAGATACCATCTCATACCAGTCAGAATGGTGATTATTAAAAAGTCAAGAAACAACAGATGCTGGCGAGGCTGGAGAAATAGGAATGCTTTTATACTGTTGGTAGGAATGTAAATTAGTTCAACCATCGTGGAAGACAGTGTGGTGATTCCTCAAGGATCTAGAACCAGAAATACGATTTGACCCAGCAATCTCATTACTTGGTATATACCCAAAGGAATACAAATCATTCTGCTACAAAGACGCATGCATACTTATGTTTACTGCAGCACTGCTGACAATAGTAAAGACATGGTACCAACCCAAATGCCCATCAATGACAGACTAGATAAAGAAAATGTGGTGCATATACACCATGGAATACTATGCAGGCATAAAAAGGAATGAGATTATGTCCTTTGCAGTGACATGGATGAAGCTGGAAGCCATCATCCTCAGTAAACTAACACAGGAGCAGAAAACCAAATACCACATGCTCTCATGCATAACTGGGAGTTAAACAATAAGAACACATGGACCAGAAGGAGGGGAACAACACATACCCAGGCCTGCTGGTTGGGGGTAGGTAAGGGGAGGGAGAGCATCAGGACAAATAGCTAATAGCTTAAAACCTAGGTGATGGTTTGATAAGTGCAGCAAACCACCATGGCACACATTTATCTATGTAACAAACTTACACATTCTGCACATGTATCCCGGAACTTAAAGTAAAATAAAAATTTTAAAAAAGAGATACACCGAAAAGGCCGAGCTTGCATAGTCAGGGTAGCAATGGAGATAATCTGCATTCCTCTAAAAGGTCCAGGGACCCAATGAATCTGAGGTGTCTGCAGCGCTGTGAAAGCTCTGTGAAGGTAACACAGAAGACCAGGCAGTATCAAGCATGACATCACCAGGAGCACACCTGGAGTCATCTTTAGTGCCCTCCTCCAAAAGACATCCCTCACACCACCGCAGGCTACACTGTTTTAGATAACAAGAAGGAACTATACAGTCTTGGGAGAGTATGTGAATAAAGTTTATTTCCAGGGCAGAGATATACAGGGAATCATTCCCTAAGCTGCAGCCACAGGATATCAACCAAGTCTCAACAAGTAACAAGCCTTCCTAATTTTTCTTTTTTTAGATGGAGTCTTGCTCTGCCACCCAGGCTGGAGTGCAGTGGCATGATCTCGGCTCACTGCAACCTCTGCCTCCTGGGTTCAAGAGATTCTCAAGCCTCAGCCTCCCGAGTCGCTGGGATTACAAGTGAGCACCACCATGCCCGGCTAATATTTTTTGTATTTTTAGTGGAGATGAGGTTTCACCAGGTTGGCTAAGCTGGTCTGGAACTCCTGGGCTCAAGTGATCCACCTGCCTCAGCCTCCCAAAGTGCTAGGATTACAGGCGTGAGCCACCACGCCTCGCCAATTATGTTGTTTTAAAGTTACTAATGTACACATATATTATTGACTGACACTTAGAAAAGAACTTCATGGCCTGCTATAGGCCAGAGGTCAGCTATATTTCCAGAGACAAAGACATTTTGCCTTAGTTGCTCAGTACAACTTACAACTGTGAAATCCACTCAGAATACAATCTTGTAAAAATATTTTGCATTATTTCAAAAACTCATAAGGAAAAGTCAGGATGTACAATAATAGAGATAGCCAATACAACTGTCATGTATTGCAAAGTTTGAAACATTTATATTTTTAAAATGTAAAGTAAAATTTCACTATAAAACTCCTCATTTAAGAAAAAAGGAAGAAGGGATGAGGGCCTGTTATATTCCCAGTTTTATATAGGGAATATAAAAGAAGGTTAAGTTACATATGGTCCCTTGCCTTCGAGAATCTTGTAAACCTATCTAAGGAGCAAAATGAAAGCTAATGAAGTATATGAAATTTAATTCAAAAATGAGAGAAATGAGATTGAATGGAAAAATTGTTTTATAAAGGCAAGATGTGAGGCCTTAAAAGAAACAGTAGGTATTACCTAGCCAGGAAGCTGACGTGGACCATTGAACAAGAACGGTACATTATGGAGATCTCAAGGTTTAACTAAAAACATATGATCAAGCTCAACATTCTTGGCCAGGCCCGGTAGCTCATGCCTGTAATCCTAGCACTTTGGGAGGCTGGGGTGGACAGATCACTTGAGTTTACGTGTTTGAGACCCAGCCTGGCCAACATGGTGAAACCTCATCTCTACTACAAATACAAAAATTAGCCAGGCTCAGGGGTGCACACCTGTAATCCCAGCTATTCGAGAGACTGAGGCAGAAGAATCACTTGAACCTGGGAGGTGCAGTATTGTAGTGAGCCAAGATGGTGCCACCGCTCTCCAGCCTAGGTGGCACAGAAAGACTCTATCTCAAAAACAAAAACAGATTCAACATTCTTGCTTTTAAAACATTTCTTATTAACAGAAAGGTTTTCATTAAGAATATTTATTAGCATCAGAAAAAAAACCTCTCAAATCTTCAACTAATAAATCTAATAGTTAATGGCAGAGCACTAGAAACACTTGTGCTAAAGAATAGGACAAAGATGCTATTATCATTACTATTACTTAAAACTGTCTAAAAGCAATTGATCTAAATATCAGATAAAAAATATCAGAAATGAGGTGGTATTAAAATAATGAGAGAAATGGCTAAATGGACAAACAGACTATGTAGGACATTTAAGGCAAGAAAAAACAATTTAATGAAAGAAGTAATTTTTAAAAACTTATTTATCAGAAAAGTCAGAAGTATCCAGGCAGATTACGTGAAACAGCAAACTAAACAGAGGAGGACCACTGTATAGTAAGTCAAGCCCTAAAAAATAATGAAGATCCCTTAAAATCAGGTCATATTTGTAATAGGCATCCCCAGAATCAACTGGTAGCTTCCAATTGTTGATGGTGCAGTTTTGACTCTGCATTCAACAGCAGGATATTCAATTATCTACAACACTGCAAATAATGGATTTATATTTTTAGAATTAGGATAGGTCAAGTCATAGCAGATGGTTGTCATTCCACTGCCACCTGATGAATCATTTACTTTTCCTGGGCCCCTTTCCTCACTCTTTAAAAAAAAAAAAAAAAGAGATGAGGGCTTGCTCTGTTGCCCAAGCTGGAGTGCAGTGGCACAACCATGGCTCCTGGGCTCAATGGATGCTCCTGCTTCAGCCTCCTGAGTAGCTGAAACTATAGGCACATGCCACCAAGAATGGTTAATTATTATTATTTTTAAGTAGAGATAGGGTCTCAATATGTTGCTAAGACTGACCCTTTCTTCACTCTTAAATACCTAGTTGCATCTCATTCTTCAGCTGACCTCCAACTCTACACAGAAAATAAGGAGCTACTCAGCATATACCAACCATTCTTAATGTAGTGACTGGTATTTGTGGCACTGCTTTCCTCTTCTATTTTTTTTCACATCAGTCAGGTGGTGTGCCGACATCATAACAAGGTTTGAGGGTGGCATATCTTACACATGTGTGAACACCCAATCAGCACCCTTATGAACTACAAAACAATCTGCTTTCTTCTTTTTTGGGGGGGATGAAGTTTCACTCTGTTGCCCAGGCTGGAGTGCAATGGCACAATCTCAGCTCACCAAAACCTCTGCCTCCTGGGTTCAAGCAATTCTCCTGCCTCGGCCTCCTGAGTAGCTGGCATTACAGGTATGTGCCGCCACACCCAACTAATTTTGTATTTTTTAAGTAGAGACAGGGTTTCTCCAGGTTGGTCAGGCTGGTCTCAAACTCCTCACCTCAGCTGATCCACCTACCTCGGCCTCCCAAAGTGCTGGGATTACAGGCATGAGCAACCATGCCCAGCCTCTACCTTCCTCTTCTACAATGTGTTTTCTTTTATCTTTTTTTGAGACAGGGTCTCGCTCTGTCACCCAGTCTGGAGGGTTGTGGCGCAATCTCAGCTTACTGCAACCTCTGCCTCTCGAGTAGCTGGGATTACCAGGCATGTGCCACTACGCCAAGTTAATTTTCATATTTTTAGTAGAGACGGGTTTTCGTCACATTGGCCAGGCTGATCTTGAACTCCTGACTTCAGGTGATCCGCCTGAAGTCAGCGTCCCAAAGTGCTGGGATTACAGGAGAGCCACCGTGCCTGGCCTACGATGTGTTTTCTCTAATACAACTCTCTGGAATACCCTCCATCTTTCACTGAAATGCAGTGTGATGTGGCATGTACAAAGGCTTTGTATGAATTCTACAGAAAGTCAACAATTTTGATCTTGATCATATCTTTATCATCTTTACAGATGCCTACATTTCACTCCTAAAAAAAAGTTAACATATATATTTTTTAAATGATCAGCAATTTCATTCTGGAAATCAAAAATTTCCAAATAATAAAAAGATCTAACACAGGCCAGGCATGGTGGCTCACACTTGTAATCCCAGCACTTTGAAAGGCCAATCCAAGAGGATTGTTTGAACCCAACAGTTATGAGCTATGATCATGCACTGCACCACTCCAGCCTGAACCCTGTCTCTTTAAAAAAAATAAAAATAAAAATAAAAAATAAAAAAAGCCAGGCAGGGTGGCTCACACCTATAATTCCAGCACTTTGAGATGCTGAGGCAGGCAAACTGCTAGAGCCCAGGGTTTGAGACCAGCCTGGGCAACATGGTAAAACTCTGTCTCTACAAAAAATAGAAAAATTAGCTAGGCATGTGGCACGCACCTGTAGTCCTAACAACTTGGGAGGCTGAGATGTGAGGACGGGTTGAGCCTGGAAGGTGGAGGCTGCAGTGAGCTGAGACTGAGCCTCTGCACTCCAGCCTGGGAGACAGAGCCAGACACTATCTCAAAAAACTAACACAAACTGAGAAGAATTTAATCCTCCTTTGAAGACACAGAGGGCCTTTTTAATTTTGGGGGGCAATAGTTACAAACAATAGTCACTGCATAGAAAGTGACAATATAGGCAATATGATTAGAGGTTCCATCATTATTGAACCTTTAAAGTTTAAAAGACAGGCTGGGTGGAGTGGCTCATGCCTGTAATCCCAACCCTTTGGGAGGCCAAGGTGGGCGAATCACCTGAGGTCCAGAGTTTGAGACCAAACTGGCCAACATGGTGAAACCCCGACTCTACTAAAAATACAACAATTAGCCAGGCACAGCGGTGTGTGCCTGTAATCTCAGGTATTGGAATGCTGAAGCAGGAGAACCACTTGAACCCAGGAGACAGAGGTTGCAGTGAGCCAAGATAGCACCACTGCACTTTAGCCTGGGCAACAAGAGCAAAACTCTGTCTCAAAAAAATAAAAAGTTTTAAAGACAACAGGGACCTCAACATGTAGGCTAGACAGAAGCAGCATATTAAATAGTTTATGTTTAAATGTATATAGTTACTTTGACAGTCAATGAAAATATATAGCTGTTTTTACAAATATAAACATTTGAAATTGAGGTTACAGTCTTATTTCAACCTTACGATCCAATTCGTTCGTGTACTTTGCTTTTGTTGCCCCGTAATAAAATTCAAATTCACACAGGTAAGCAGTGCAAACAGTACCTGGATTTAAACATCTCAACTTGCAGTCTCAGAGTATTCTTCAATTAAACTGAGCCAGAAGATTTTAAAAGGAGTGGAAAATACCTCTTGGAAAGCTGAGTCACTAACAAGGTCTAAAAATTACTTTCATGCCTTACTATAGATCCCCAAGTCAGGCGAAAAGTACCCAAATCTTAACCTAAGCCCTAAAACTTGTCTGACATCTACTGAGACTGCATGAACACGTGCAGCTATAGTATATTCCTGTAACAACGTGAAATGTGCAGGCAGGTGCAGATCTTCACTTAGTTTGCAAAGGCCAGGGAAAAACCACTTTCCAATCAATGCTAAATACCTACAATGTTCACATACGTGCACAGGAGAAACCTGAATACCTCAACTAACTGCAGAGGTCAGACTTTTGAAGCAAGCAAGCAAACAAACAAAAAACCAGCTTAAAAATACATTACGGTTGGCAGGGCGAAGTGGCTCACATCTGTAATCCCAGCACTTTGGGAGGCCCAGGTGGGCGGATCACGAGGTCAGGAGTTTGGCTGACACAGTCAAACCTGTCTCTACTAAAAATACAAAAATTAACTGTGCGTGGTGGCACGTGCCTATAGTCCCAGCTACTCGGGAGGCTGAGGCAAGAGAATCGCTTGAACCCGGGAGGCGGAGGTTGCAGAGAGCTGAGATCAAGCTATCATCGCACTCTAGCCTCAGTGACAGAGCAAGATTCTGTCTCAAATAAAATACAATAAAAATATCTATTACAGTCATGAAAAGACATGGAGAAATGTTAAATACAGATTGCTAAGTCAAAGCAGCCAGTGTGAAAAGGGTACATGCTATATAATTGTAATTTTCTGGAAAAGACAAAACTATGGAAACAGTAAAAATATGAAGGGTTTAGGGAGGCAGGGAGGGATGAATAAGTGGAGGCTGAGATTTTTAGGGCAGTGAAATTATTCTGTATGATACTGTAATGATAGATATGTAACATTAAGCATTTGTCAAAACCAAGAGAATATACAACAAAAAGAATGAACCCTAGCGTCAACTATGGACTTTAGTTACTAATAATGTATCAATGTTGACTCATCAATTATAATAAATATACCACATAAATACAAGATAACAACACTAGGGGAAACTGGGGGAAAGGCCAAATTAAGAGGTAGGCTATGAGAAAAGGCATATGGCACTGTCCATCAAGTCACGTATTCCATTCCCAAATCAAAATTGCTATGGAAAACATTTAAGGCTTTTTGGGAAAATAATTTGAGAGAAGCAAGGTTTACAAAACAAAAAATTTAGAATTTATTACCTCATATTGACTTTTGTTTGTTTGTTTTTTGGAGATGGTGTCACACTCTGTCACCCAGGTTAAAGTGCAGTAGTGTGATCTCAGTCACTGCAGCCTCCACCTCCCAGGCTCGAGCAATTCTCCTGCCTCAGCCTCCCAATGTAGCTGGGATTACAGGCAGGCGCCACCACGACCAGCTAGTTTTTTGTTTTTTGGTTTTTTTGGTTTTTGTTTGTTTGTTTGTTTTGTTTTGTTTTTAAAGCAGAGATGGGGTTTCACCATGTTGGCCAGGCTGCTCTCAAGCACCTAACCTCAGGTGATCCACCTGTCTCAGCCTACCAAAGTGCTAGGATTACATGCGTGAGCCACCACACCTGGCTGAAATGTATTATTAATATAAAGCTACAATGATCAAAAGAGTGTTCTTCTGGTTCCTGAAAGCATAGCAAGTCCAAAAGCCAATGTAAGGTTTTATAAGAAGGTGTTTTCAGATCAATAAGGAAAGGACTATTCAATAAATGTTTGGACATGTGGATAATGACTCAGAGAAAAAGCACTTGGATCCCTTCCGCGTATAATCAACAAACATAAATTCCAGACGGCTTAGACATTACTATAAAAAGAAACAAAACCAAAAATGTCTTAAGAAAATAAAAATGAAAACTTATGTAGTCAAGATTAGTGAAGGTCTTCCCAGGTATCAATCTATGTTAGTATCAAGGAAAAGACACAGCTTTTACTATATGACACCTATTTGCAACATATGACAATGGGTGACTTAGTACACTAAAGTCCTCTTAGGGATCAACAAGAAAAATGTAAACACTACAACAGAAAACAAAACAAAACAAAATGTAGCAACACCCAAACAGGCAATTCACAAAGTATGAGAAGGGAATCATATATAAAACAATTTTTTGAACTCAATAATTTTAAAGAAAAAATTTCTATAAATTGTGAGATTATTATTTTTTTTTCTGAGACGGACTTTCGCTCGTTACCCAGGCTGGAGTGCAATGGCGCGATCTCTGCTCACGGCAACCTCTGCCTTCTGGGTTCAAGCAATTTTCCTGCCTTAGCCTCCCAAGTAGCTGGGACTACAGGCATGCGCCACCATGCTCAGCTTATTTTTGTATTTTTAGTAGAGATGGGGTTTCACCATGTTGACCAGGATGGTCTCAATTTCTTGACCTTGTGATTTACCCACCTCAGCCTCTCCAAGTGCTGGGATTACAGGCATGAGCCACCGCGCCTGGCTGAGATTACTTTTATATACACACACAAAATTTGATGTTTGCAATTCAACTTCCTGGTTTTTTTTTTTTTTTGGGGGGGGGTCACCCAGGCGGCAGTGCAGTGGGGCAAGAGCTCCCAGGATCCTCCCACTGAAGGCTCCCAAGCAGGTCCCAAGAATGCACCCAGCATTCCTGGTTTTTGTTTTTTGTTTTTTTGTTTTTTTTTGAGATGGAGTCGCCCAAGCTGGGGTGCAATGAGGTGATCTCAGCTCACTGCAACCTCTGCCTTCCAGGTTCAAGTGATTCTCCTGTCTCAGCCTCCTGAGTAGCTGAGACTTACAGGCACATGCCATGACACCCGGCTCAACGTTTGTATTTTTAGTAGAGATGGGGTTTTGCCATGCTGGCCAAGCTAGTCTTGAACCCCTGACCTCAGGTGATCCACCCACCTGGGACTCCCAAGTGTTGGGAT